ATTCCTCATATATGCTCTGCCTTCCCGCCCTTCAAATTTAAAAAAAAAAATCTTAAAATATATACATGTCTGAATTGTGTTGAGATTGATGGTTTAACTGAACCTGAATTGCCTTACATCACTTGTTTTAGACTGTCATCCTGAAATTTGATGATAAACACTTACTTGCTTGAAAACTTGGACTCTTCCTGGCAGTGGGACCCCAACCCTCCTTCCTGGTGGGAATTGGGAGTACAGCCCCAAAGTTGGGGTTTGTCTTAGATGTCAGTGTAGCTCCTGTCCACTGAATGCCTGCAGTTCACTTCAAACTGAAGCGAAAGGAAGTGGATGGTGTTCCAGATGCTTTGCATGAGGATTGTTTTACCAGTTCAAATGCAAGCTAACGGGAAGATGCTCAGTTTCACAGCATACCCTTCCTGACAGCTGATGGGGGAGGATCAGCCAAGACCACCTGTGGACCAGAGCAGGCTGGGCAGCTGTGGTATTTACACATTGGCCCAGCATGGGATCTGTATTTACAGTCTCTGGGCAAACACTGGAGGCTTGATACCATTTCTAAAACTTCCCTATGTAATGGAGAAAGACTTCCATTAAAAAAAAAAGAAAAATAATTTTAGCTCTCCTGCCGATCTGGAGAGTGGAAGTCAGCTAATAAGCTTTTTAAAAAGTGGACAGGAAAACCAATATTGCAAAAGCCAGGAGTCCCCAAAGAAATACGAAGTTTGACAAATGCTACGTTTCAGTTCTCTTCCCCCAGCCCATCCTTTATAGGTAGCCCCTGCGTGCCCAGTATGGAACCGGACGGACACTCCTGAAATCCCAAAAGCATGGTAGTAAGAGTAGTATTTCCTTAACATAGAGTCACACAATCAAACGGCACCTCTTGGTTGTGATAACAGCAGTCAAGTAAAGCGTGATTACCCTTTTTAGTTAATGCTTCTGAAAGACATCGTAGACACAGTAAAAATTTCCCTACAGATTGTACTATAGCTCAACCTGGTGGACATGGAGCAGGCATCAATTTCCTTGCTGTGGGTTACCTGCTGGCTGTACGCTGACAAGCATAAAGAGAAGTCACAGTCAGATAGTTTTAAAAATGTCATTCTGCAGAGTTTTTTTCACAGCATCTTAAACCAGGAAGGAGAGAAAATGGCGTAAAAGAAAACTGCAGAAAGTATTCAGCATTGCTAATGGTGTATGAACATGTAAGCTGTACACTAGTTAAAACCTATTGTGATTATTATTTGATACATTAAGTGACATATATAACAATGTCTACTTTTACTGAACAATAAATAGAACTATTCCTCGCTTTAAATTGCAGATAGTTTGTCACCTACCGTTTCTCTATTTCTTGCAGCCAGAGCCTTTCTCCTCATCAGAATAGGTAGCTGTTACCATTTGTACAGGCGGAAAAAGGTATTTGACAGCCTTCATTGGTGTGCGGGGCAAGTGAAGGATCTGACCACGTTATTACCCTGAGTGGCAGCCTTACTGCTCAGAGTTGGGGCGTTAAGGAGATTGCATCTATAGCTGCGTTTTTGTCTGCATGCTACTTGAGGTGGATGGCTTTAGAATTTTAGTTTTGAGAATATGAAGCTTAAAATACACAACTAGCTATGGCCCAGAAGCAATTTAACTTAACAGTCGTCAGGCGTATGCAGTGTTTTCACAAACTAGTGATGTAAATGTGCCTTTCTGTATTTTTAAAATCTTAAATTTGTAATCTTCAGCAACATTCACTTATTTTAAGCAGCTTCTACTTCTGCAGTTAATTTTTTGGGTCAGAGTGATGTCCTCACTTCAGTATTTCCTTTCAGTAACATTTGCTCTGTAACATAAGGTCTTGGGCAATGGTGTCCAGCATGGTCCATTTGAGATACAGCCATGGGAACATAATGCAATCAGGTCAGTCTTGCTCTTGCAGCAGGTGGCAATAAGGTCTCAGCCATATGCACTGCTGGAACAAGTACATTGTAAATCCTTTCCTAATTTAACTTTCTGCCACGGCAAACGCAGGTGGACAGGATGAACAGTTTGTTGTGGCAACACAAGTATTTCTCTTCCTGGTGGAGAACTTTGCTTATCCACTGTATTCTATTCAGTGTGGTGTCAAAAAAAAAAAAAAAAAGTAACTAAGCACTGAACCAGTAACATATCCTGCACCTGGCCTAGTGTTACATTTTTAACCTTACTAGTATATCCTATATTTATCTACTAGCTTGGGGGGGCGGGGGGGGATATCTCATGTCATGTAAGCCAAATGTTTCTTTTCTACTTACTGATGATGATAGTACACACTAACTGGCAAGAATTTTTTTTCTTGCTTGTGACTGCTCTCTACAGGTCAAATACTTGCATATTTTTCACCAAAATTTCTCCGATCAAAGGTTGTCCTTTTGTTAGTAATTGTTTGGCCACGTATACAACTGGAGACAAGATTGACGTAAAACAAAACTCCAAAACGTCCGGCTCTCAGAATACTTCTGCTTTAGCATGTTGTGTAGTGTGTTATTAAGGGCAGCATTATGCAAAATTCTAAGGCACTTACAGACAGAGCTCCTTCTTTCTCATTGTAGAGTCAGAAGGTGCTTTCCAGGTGGTAACAGATGTCAGCATGAGGGGAGAGTTTAAAACATTCGGACAGGCGGGGACCGTGGGCTTGTATCAAAAGTGAGAGGCCATTTGTAAGGATTTTGCTAAATCGATGGAAAGCGTAACACGTGGTGTTCTGAAGTTTCCTCAACAATGTTTCATTACTGATGTGTCTGTGTCTTAACTCATGAGGTAATCAGCACCTTGAAAATTTATTCCAGTGTGCTTTAGGATATCCTCAAGTACTGTAGTGCCATAGTTGTAATTGTTTACCATTAAAATCTAGTGTGTAATTTTCAGTGAGGATTACTGACTGTGCTCATCTTGTGTGTTTCTGGAGCATTTCCAGGTTGAATGTGAATTATATCTCATTCACACAGTGTGTTTATGGAAAACGTGCCATTAAAGCATCTCCTTTCCTTAGAAAATGAAACTCCTCTTGTCCTTCTGCAGGCTTGCTGTGTATCATCAGTGTCAATTCTTTGAACGCGGATGGCACAGTGTTTTAACTTGTTCTGGGAGAAACAAAAAAAAGCATACCGAAGCATTCCCACTATTTAACACCTCCACCAAAACTCAGCATGTAAACCCAAGGAGGACCTGCTGCTCAATGTTAACGGGTCTTGTCACCCAGCGGCTGTTAATGTTTACGTCAGATTGTGGTGCAGGTCCTCCGTGTGCTTAGAGTCCTCCCCAGCAACAGTAATGTTGTCATTCAAATTTGCTTGTGCGTTGGGTTTTTGTTACAAAGAACATTCCTGTGGTTATTACAACTCTGAGCAGTCTCAACTGTTTAAACCTGCTCAGAAATGAAGGTAAGCTCTGAAAATGATGAAGGGACAGAGGGGGAGTTGAAAAATACCAGTGTGAGAACGAAGAACTGCCAGCACAGCATTTAAGCTGCTGTGACTGGCTTACCTGGTATGTGAAATTACCTACCATTCTTGTCCCTTTCATGGCTTCACAAAGTACTCGCGCCACTGTCCATAGCCTGTATCTGAGCGTGGGTGAGGAGCAGGAGTCTCCTTCTCAGTTGAAGGAAATTATTAAATGACAAAGGATAGGAAACCAAAAAGACTGGCAAGTGTTAAGCACAACTTACGGTACATAATAGAAAATTACTAACTCTACACAATTAAACAGATCCACAACTGCCATTTTTTTGAGTAACTGTGTGTAAGCATGCACATTAGTTTAGTTAAGCACAGATAAGAAGCTAAAATAATTGCAGCAGCCTGCAAACAAATTTTAAATCTTGTTTTTCAGAGTTGAATTTCAAACTGGAACATTGGTCCTACTCAACCCTGTCATACATTGAAACAAATCCAAATAAAATGCATAGGTACATAAAATCTCCCAGCTACTAAAAACGTGCAAGCCACTGCAAGAATCCCTGCAGGGCTGTTTTGCTGTTAATATCTAGTAATTAGCTGAATGTATTCTTTTCCTGTATTAACACCAGACAGAAGACAGGCATAAAGTGCCTTAGTCCTGAGCAGTTTTATTTCACAAACAAGAAAGTTACAAGCTGTTCATTGTTGCTTTTAATTGTAATCTGCCATTTGCTGTAGCTTGATTTTTCTTCTAGGAGAAACTTTCAGCTACAGTGTCTGCGTTTACTGGAAAACAAACACTGTTCCTAAAAATAGTTCTATGTATCCTTTTCCCACCAAAACTGCCAAGTCTAGGGTGACAGAAGTAAACCTAAAAACATAACACAAGAAAACTCTTGTAAAACTCCAGCTAATAGAAGACAGTTATGAAAAGCACAAGCCTACAAGCAGCTAAAGACAGACTTGCTGTTCCCATGCATGTCTTCATGCGTACCATTACTTCCCTCAAGTAACGGTGTGCAGGAAAGTGCCTGTAAGTCTGAGGCTTGTAAATTGAAGAGACAGAATTTTTAAACTCATTTTACAAGCTGTTCATGAAAATTCATTATGCAGTATAACAGTCCTTGAAAATGAAGCAAGAGTGCAACCTCAGAAAACACTGTGAACAAATCAAGGCTAAAATCATTGTACACTCCCAATGCCAGGCAAAATTACTCCTTGCAGCTCTAGTTACCAGACACCCACCCCCCACACACACCCTCCCCCCACTTCATTAACTTTGGTAAACTTCAGGAGCGCCTAAAAGGAAAGAGAGTCCTTTTAAGGAAGCATTTCATGACAGTCAAGTGCTACATGCCCATTCCATTCCCTTGTAGAAACAGAACAAGTTTCATGCACGCACGTTTCTTTTCCTTTCCTGGTTCTTAGCTTCTGCACCAGTTGTTTGACCAAAATAAACACCATTCCACAACCATATATGTGCAACAGCCTTCTGGTGATTCTGAGCCCCCTCCAGCACTGCCGTTATTCAACAAGGCCAGGAGCCTATCTTCTTTCTACCACGCTCTGACGGGCTATGCATATAACCCAGCTGAATCGGGAATGCCTTTTGCATCTGTTTTCTTTTCTGGACAAAACTAGTAGGAAAAGTTTAGCAAAAACATGTCACAAGTTGCAAGAAGTGTTTCAGGATCCTTTACTGTGGTCTTTGTTGAACTTTCATTCTCCAGCTGAACTTAAGAAGGACAATTTTCTCCTGGGACCTGCTTTAAAATACTTATCCATCTGCTGGTATTCAGAGAGAGTCAAGGTGTGTAACATTGAGGACTGGATGAAAAACAATTTCCAGAAAGACTTCTGTAACAGGCATGAAAACACTGTCAATGTTTTTTTACTAGAAGTTTGCAACAGGTATGTTCTTTGGGTGTGAAACTCTACATCTACTGTAAAGGTTGACAGCCTCAAAATGAAAGAATTCAGAGCTATTTGCACCAAGTACGTGAGTGCTTTGACTTTGCTGTTGTAATATGGTGTGAAGTTGGTTTTATAGTGGCAATAATGTATACTTCATATTGACTTTCCTTAAGCCTATTCCCTCCCCCCCCTTTTTTTTCCAAAAAAAAAAAAAAATTAATACAGGAAAACGCAATACCGCTTACTAAATTGCTGCTGAACTTTGACTGAAACGTACCATTGTGGCAGTGCAGAGCATTGTCCTGGGGGGGTGCCTAGAGGAAAGAGGTGATTTCAAATCCCGAATATATGTCATAACAAATCCAAGTTCATCAAACATCTTACTAGAAACCAAATTGGTTTAAATCTGAGAAATAAGTATTGCTTTTTATACTGAAATTGAACTCTAAGCTTTTTTATAAACTAGAGTAAAAGAAAAGAAATCCTGCTATGGAAAAGCAGCTCTAGGTGCACACAGTTTCTTCTAACAGCTTTACTGTTGCAAACCCACTCTAAGAGAAAAAGATTTAAATTACATTAGGAGGAGCAAAGGAGGTAGAGCCCATCCCTAGTGTTTTAGTAACCCCGAGGGCAGCTGCAGTCCTAGATTAGAGCTGAAAGGGGCACATCAGCGCCTATCCTGAAACGAGACACCCCAGCCAGCCCTGAGCATTGTGCCACAGAACGAAAGGCAAACAGGTCTGTTTGGAAGTAACAATTTAAAGAAGCTGGCAACAGCAACAGCATCATCCCCAAGCAAGGCCTGAAATGTAGGTTCAAAGCCAAACAGTAAGTTGCAAGTACAAAATTTCAGAAGTAACTGAGAACAAACGATAAAAAATGTGGATTAATTAGCAAAATACTAGGAAGCACATCTGTGCCAACAAAGGAGGGCGTAGGAGGAAGCGTTCTCTCATTGGCACGGGAATGCCTACCGTGAGGCCACACTTAATGATTTCCATTATTTTGCCATCACAAATCTGGATTCGGAAAGAATGCAAGACCACAGCTCTGCAGAAATAGTTTAAGTACCTTTCTCTGCAGAATCCGTAACCTGAAACCGGTTCCTAGACAGAAATTCAAAGCAAAGCCTGGGGAGTAAGTAAGTTCGAATTCCGTAAAAATTCAGCAAATGCCTTTTAGCCTTACGTGGATTTGTTTTCATGAACCCTTGAAAATGACAGTTTCTGTTGACACTCGGGCCCCTCCCACCTCATTCATTTTAGCCTTCCTAAAACAAGTTCCTGCTTTTTTTTGTAACAACCCATTGACAGCATTTCCATCCAGACAAAATTCCTAGCGTTCAGTGCAAAGAAAAATGCAAATGAAGCAAATATCCAGCTTCTCTCCCCCTGTTTGGAGTACTTTTGTTCTGTGGACAAAGCCACAAGAGAGGGCAGGTCAGAGCCTTTCTTGACCATGCCTGCTTTAAAACATTTGTTTTTTTCTAACTGTAAGTGTAAAGGAACAGAGTTAAAAAAAAAAAAATCATGCAGCTGACATGATCTCAGTTTATTATCTCTGCTCAAAAGGTGAAGTCAAGCAGCAGCAGGGGGCTGGGGTGGAGAGAGAGAGAGGGGAACATACTATGTACCGGTTTTGAAGGACAAAAGAACATGCAGCAGTGATGGCAGAACACCTTGTTTGCCTCCCCTGCTGTCGTACGCCTAAAACCCTGAGACAGGCTGTAAGCACAAGTGTTTATATGGAAGCGCTTACGGACACCTTGCGGTTGTTACGGGGTGGAGGCAGGCTAATGGTTCCTTCCAGAGGCCTCACAAAGTCAATATTAGCATCACTGTAATGATTTTCCCCTACAACAACAGAACTTAAAAGACTGCTTAAGAAAAAAACCACGCAGCTGCAGCTTAAATAGGCATCCACACGTTCTCCTGCGCTACGGCATTTGAGCTATGGATGTTGCTACCAATAGGAAAGGCAAAGAAGGTAAGTTTTGCAGTGAGTCAAGCTGAGCAGCAAGACGTATGTCTGTCTCCACCTACTCATGCTTTCTTACCCCTCCTGATGGAAGAGAAGGTATTTTTGTGACGTTCATATTTATTCTTGACAACAGTAGCTTTTTCCAGCTCTGTTTTTTATTGTTCCCCTCATCTCACCTGTAACAATCATGTTTTCAGCTGTCCAAACCTGCTATCTCTGACCCTCTCTGGATGCGGCCACGTCACAGATGATTGCATCTCGCTGCTTCTCAAGAAGTGCCCAAACCTCAAGACACTCAAACTGGAAAACTGTGTGCGGATCACCGACCAGACACTAGAAGCAGTGACCCTCTATGGGGGATCGTTGCAAACGCTCCACGTGGATTTCTGCCGGAACATAACACAAAGCGGGCTAGAGAGAGTCAGGGAAAAACGTCCTTCGGTAATGCTGAGAGCGGAGAGAAGTGCTAACATGATTCCGGACAGTAAGCCAGAAAAGAAGTTGATGCTTGAAAAAGCATCGAGCAAATCGGTTCATCTTTAAGTGTGACAAATTGTATCAACTCAGTCAATGTGGGTATTTTACTTTACTTCCCCTCACCTCTTGGGTAGCATCGCTATGAACCGTGGCTGCTTCCCGCGTTCTGGTTGAAGTCCAAACAAAGGGCGCGTATGTGTCAAGAAGACCGCACTGGGTAAAGGACAGTCATAAGGAAAAACCCGATCGTTTTCTTTTGTTCCTCGAAACTGGAAAAGCCTGCGTTGCCATCACAAAACGCTAGTAGACCTGAACAAGGCGGCAAACTGCAATTTTGAGACCCTCTCGTGGCAGACGAGCAGAACGTACCTCACTTGGAAGCAGCGATATGTTTTACGAAGGTAAAATAATAATGTGACGGAGTTCAATAAATTTGATGGAATGCAAAAATTTCAACAGCATTTTTTCAGTAAGTGTGATGGCAAGGTTCACCCCATTAATTACCACACGGTAGAAAAATAGAAAGGAAAATTGAGTTAGAACGATTCACAGAGAGAACGGAGATGCAGAGTAAGGAAGACCCTCCCCGAGTCACAAGGTTCAGAGCAGACCCCCTCGCTTTCTAAGCGCCTGATGTAATGGGACAGGGCATAAAGCAACAGCAGGCAGAGCCTGGGCCATCGTACGATTTATGCAAATGTCAGGGAAATGGCGATTATCAAATTTCTGTGAAGAGAGATGTCCATGCAGTCATTGCATCTGCTAAGGGCAATAACCATGGCCGTTTTGTACGAAAAGCAGAGTATGGGACAAGCATCACTTCCTCAGTGAGTAACATTTGTAGGTGATTTGCGAGGCTCATTTATCAAACGAGGGATGCAGGGCAATGCTTGCAAAACACAGCTTGACCTCTGCACAGTCTACTGGGACAAGATACACCAAGTTGTTTTTTAAAGTCGACACGAAAGGAAACGCGCTATGAGCAAATGCTAGTTTACAAAACTAACCTACAGGAAGAGACAGCGACTTAGAACCTGCAGGTGTAAATGCTAGATTATGAACACAGAACAGTACAGAGGTCTCTCTCTCTCTCAAAACACCTGTTTCTCACCACAAGGTACAAAACAAATAGCTGTTTTCATCCCCCACCGTAAGGCTGTCCCCGTCCCGCGCACCGCTCTGCCACATGGAAGCGAAACGCTGTGTATTACGAAGGGTCACTATGGCATCGTGTACAAAATTTGACAGCAAAGGTTGACACGGTTTTATTCTGCTGTATAAAATTTGCCTTGATACAACACACTGTGCTATTGAGTAATCGGGATCGGTAACACCGCATCCCGATACACTTAGGTTTTTTGCCTAAGGAAAGGTAAACATTTCTGAGCACCACCTTACTGGGCCAACCGTAGTGCAGTTACTTGTCGAAAGTTGTACTTGTTGAGTCTGCCTCAATCGTAACAATACAGAAAAATCATCGTGATTGTCCAGATCAGGTTTTTGTCGGAACTACAGCACACTTTTGTAAAAAGCACCCCATGCTTTAGGTGGGAGCACGTCTTCTAGCTCTGCTTGTCATAACTTTCCATGTAGTTCAGCTATTGCAATGTGAATTCAGACTTGTGACTCCTAGAGAGTCACATGGCAATAGATAATCCCGCCCATTCTTGCAGACTCTGCAGCTGAACTTGTATTTACCTTAAAAGTGTCTCCCATTCAATACCAAAGAACCTGACACGTACAAAGGATGACAGCTGGTTAAATCTGGCTATCGATAACATAGTTTCCCGTAGGGGACGAGATGTGAGTTTAGCTTAGATGTCAACCTCAAGGCTGCATACAGACCAGTTTGACAAACTCGGTGGATCCTGAAGAGTTCGAGCCTAAATCACACTGAAGTCTAAAGCAGTTAAGATTTTTTTAAAAATTAAAAGCTTACACAGAGCAGCAATACTAGTGTAAAAAAAAAAAAAGTGTGCGTGTCCTTACAGCAGACTTAGAAATACTAGGTTTGGCAATACCGTTCTGTCCCATACACAGAGTCATCGGTTCTGTGCCATTAGATAACAGCTATTTAAGACTTTATCACCTCAGCAATCTACGTCCATCGACAGCAGCAAGCCTGTTTCTCGTTTACACGAGGGCTGTGCAGTTGTTGGCTAGCAAATCTCACCGCACTGGTAACAGAACACTGATGAAATGTGCTAGTTAAATCCGCACGAACTAGAACTAGCATCGCTGGAACGGAAGTACATCGAGACTATCACGGTTTAAAATAATCAGATACCATTCTCGCGTTTTACCAGCGGTATATACAAGTGTGGCTCTGCAGACTTTGTATTTGTCTCCGTTCTTAACCTTCATGTAACTGGACGACTGAAGTGTTCCTTCCGCTACGGAACAGGAGCTGTGACTTCCTACACTGCAATGTAACGAATTATTAAAGCTTGTCACAAATATGAGACATGAGAGATGATGGTTTTCCTTAAATTTCGAGAAGACCTTAACTGTAGTAACTCTCTGAAACAGGAAGAATGCACAAAAAAATACTACTGAAATAACGCAGGACTTCCCCG